CGTGCACTAGAAAATGTTTCCTTCCACAAGAAAGTTTTGGGATTTTTGTCATTGGGATGCRTTTCCATACCCATGGTGTTACTCTCACTCATTCACTGGGCCTCAGTTACAGATGTTTTTTGGGATTACTGGTTTTGGATGTATACATGAGCTTCTTAAAACATATTTCAGTGGCAGGAGAGACTTACCCAGAACAGTGTTTGCTCTCACTTTTCCTTTGTAACTACCATGGAAGGCRTTACCAAATTTCCTCTCTAATTCCTTTTGGTCTTAGACCAAAAAATATAATTTTCTGATAGTCAAGTTACTTGGGTTTCCTTTTCCTGCTTAAAACCAAGATTCAGCCTCAGATTAAGGAAGCATCTTTGAGTGCCACGACTGACAGCACACAGGGCAATCGCCTTCTGTAGGGAGTTATTATATCCAGTGGATTTTTGGAGAGGTTTTATTTCAAACATCTGTTCTACCTTTTTGCACATAACAATGAAAACCATAACAATGTTGTCAAATATCATGAAAAAAAGGTTTTTTGCCCCATCGTGGGAGTGGGGAAAGATTTTTAACAAATAACTGAAATTGCCCAGATGGATTGGTGCTCCAGCTGTGATTTTTGAGGGGTGTGTGTMGTTGTCATATTCCCATTACATCAATACACCAACCATCTTTCTCCTCTCAACCATCTGCTGCTGTAGCCAAATGTTTCGAGTAATTTTATTATTATACTTCGAGGCAGTTTGTTCCCCTGACATCTGAACAGGGACAGGGAAAGCCACGATCCGTTTGCAGCCACGAATAAAGGGATTACAGCAAAACCTTTCCTGTCTTTCCCACTATTGCAGATCTGATTGCAGACACTGGGTGGAGCAGGATGCTTACAAACCGCTTGTCCTGCACATTAATGGTTCTGCGTGTGCATCAGGAACGCCTGGTGGAAAATCGTATTTTTTCACTTGTTTCTCTGCAAAAAAAAAAGGGTTCAGGAAAGGAAAAAAGCCGCAGAAAGAAAGCTCTACATGCAGCAGTAGCGCCTTAAAGAACAGCTGCTGGATCCTGAGCCCATCCTGGGCGCCTGCTCCAGGGCTGTGAGTGATGGAGGTGCTGTGGCAGCTCGTCCCCTTCAGCCTCTTATTAATTAATTAATTCATTCATTCATTAACCCAGATGCGAGCGTGACACCCTTGCCCCTGTCCCTGTCAGAGCATCCCTTCTGCTCCTCTCTTGCCCACCTGGGTAACACAATGTACTGAGATTTTCCTGGCTTCTTTGCCCTGGTGCTGCAGAAGGGATCCTGGGGGTGTCACTGCTAAGAGTGGAACCAAGGCTTTGTTAATACTTAAAAAAAACCCCATTTTTTAGCTTGATAGACAAGGGCTGGCCAAAACAAGGGAGCCCCCCAGCTGCATGATGCCAAGGAATGGGAAAGGCTGTTTGGCATCTTGCCTAACAAAATGTGTGGGCTTTCCATGGAGAGAGTCTCTAGCCAAGGAAGGGAAGCCTTTTCTCCATGCTCTGGCTGAATTCAGGCTGAATTTAGGAAAATTAATCCACAAACACCAGAGGTTTATGTCCAAAAAGGAGACAGAAGAGTCCAGTAACTTTATTCAAATAAAAGGAAAAGGCCATGGGGCATTTCCATGGAGTCTCTCAAATTGCTAGAGGACGCAACCTCTTTTTTATCTTAATTTTGCGACCACATTTCCCTCTCTCTTTCCCCACTGGCTGAGGTACTTGAGAGGTACAGACTTCCTGAATCACCCAACACAGACCCCAATCTAATGCGCATCCCCTCCCTTTTTATTCTTTGTGTCTCTTTTTCTCTAAGTCCAGGGATTTAGTGCTGCCTTAGGTGAGTAACAATCTGTGTCAATGGGTGGAATTCCTCTGGAATTTCTGGTTCCCCCCATTGCTCCTTTCACCTGTCAGGATCTGGCCTTATCTACCAGCAAACCCCACAGTTTCTTTATAAAGACATCTCCCTGTCATTCCTTTCAAGGCAAAAGCCCCAGAAGCTGCAGAAGACCAAGGCACAGAAAAGTAAAATCAWCCCCAAAATCCAACAGGTAGAAAGTTGAGTCTTCTGCATGCTGGGCACAGGATGAACACTAGAAAGCACTGAGTTCTACTCTCCCAGYCTCAACAACTGAAAAGCCAAAGTTCTGTCACCTCAGACACAGGGAATCAAAGCAGATACACAATAGCTACAGAGAAACAGAGGCAAGAGTAAGAATGATCTGCCACAGCAGATTTTATTGCCGTGTTTGTAGGCTGGTAATTTTTGCACAGATGTGAACATTTCCATCCCAAAAGGTGGTTATGTCTCCAAAATCCTATCCCAGAAAAAAACAGGACTGAGATCACAGCATGAAAAACATGTTTCACCTCTAGACTCAGTCAGAAAACAGTTCCCTGTTCAGAATAATCAGTTTTCAAGGTGGAAAAGGATCATCTGTTCCTGCTTCATTTAAAAACAGAAATTTGTTGCTGAAATCAATTTTTGTGACTTTAATTAGCCACAGAGACAGCCCTTGAATATAATTGTGTTAGACCAGAAAACAGTCWCCATTTTACCAGTAAATTATCAGTAAATAAACCAGGGCAGCTGCAGCATCAAGGGGCCAAGTGAGGAGATGGACACCTGCTTKTCAGTCTRGACCTTTCTGTGACTAATGGTAATYAAGTATTCCCATTCATTATTCTCTGTTTGCATCACACGTGTAGAGCAGTGGGATTTCAGGATTTACACGAGACATGCAGCTTATTGCCATCCAAATGTTCTTCAACTTTGACTTGTGTTGCAGTGGCAGTTTTCTGGCATTAACTCATTTCCTGTGAGCTACTGTTTAGAGAAAAGGAGCAAAGCAAAACATCAATTTGGATCATGACTCATCCTGATCTCAAAYTCCTTTGCCTGCCTTTGAAAGTTCAGAGAACTGAGAAAGTCCCAGACCCTGGAGGGAATAGAAAGTCCGACACCTGTGATACAAAGCCAATCCATCACATGTATTTCCTTTACTGAAAATATGAATACTAAGATTATTGAATACACTGGTTTTGGTCAAGGACAATAAATGTGTTTAAAGCATGATTACAAGTAAACAAAATTCAATTAAAGGCTTAACATTAGACTGTACAAAACACACCTCTGGACAGATGGAACTTTCCCTTTATAAAATTGGGAAAATCATGGTCTGTGTCTCCAGTGGGGAACAAAGGCAGCATGACGAGGTCTTACTGGCCAAACTCGGTGGGTAAAAAAAAAACACATAGTGGCCCTTTGCAATAAATGGCAACAGGTAAAATCGACTCTGTGCCTTTTAATGAAGCTACAAAGGCAATCTGATGAATACACCACTCATGGACACACAAAGGTTTACAAGAATTCAACAGCTCTGCTTTTCTAAATGAAGCCATTGCCCCCAAGTTTGTCCCACAATCCCACTGATATTTAACTCCTTCACTGATTAGTGAAGATCAGCTCATCTTTAGAGCCTTACAGGGCCAGGGTCCTTCAGAAACTTCCTCCTTCCTGGCATTTCAGGCACTGACAAAACAGTGCCATTTCTGTGGGCTGAATCCCTCCCTGAGCCACAAGCCTGCTGCATGTGAAGTAGAAAGCACTGTCACCATACACCAGTGCTGCTGTTGATGCAAATGCAAAGCTCAACTCAGGCTTGCAGCGAAGAGCCAACTGCTGCAGTTAGCAGAAATAATGGGTAGAAAGAAGAATGGGGACTTCTCTGGACGGAAAATTTAAACTCTGGAAGGAAAATGTAAAATTTCAATTTTCAATTTAAAGCTTTCTATCAGTAGGCTACTCACTAATGCACAGAATCCTTCTGCTCATGGGAAGTGCTCTTTCCAAGCCCTGCCTAGCTCTGTTTTTAGCAGAGTCAGGGTGCTATTACACGGGCTGGGCATGGACTCAAAAGATCAGCTTGTTCCAATCCCCCTGCCATGGCCAGGGACACTTCCACTCGACCAGGCTGCTCAACCATCCAGCCTGACCTTGAATATTTTCAGAGATGGGGCACCCACAACTTCCCATTTACACCATATCTAGCACAGCCGTGAATTTATTGTGCTTCTGCAGCTTCCTGGTGAGCAGAGGAATTGGATGACAAATGTCCCAATGTCCCAAAGCACATTGCTCCTCACACAGACAGTGTTTGTGAGACAGTTCAGATGAACTAAACCATGGTTCTATGACCACTGGGACAACTCACATGGAAATTTCAGGTCAATAACACAAGGAAAATCTAAGTCTATAATATAAGGAATGCTTTCTTGACCAAAAGGAAAGTGTGTAATCTTGTTCAAAAGTAATTTTTCTTCCTCCACACTGTTATTTCAGTCTGCGTGGAGACAACTTGTTTAAACAAGGGAGTCTGCTTTTTCTGTCAAAAACATTAACTCTTGTCTGCTTCCCACTTGAGAATTACTTAAGGAAGTGGGTTGTTTTTTTTTTCTTTTGCAATGACAATAAAGTAGTGTYTATCTCCTAAAATATTAAATATCCAACTCTATCAAATCTTCAAAACTTCTGATCTTCAATTTCCCAGACAGTCCACAGGGTGTCTATACTTACCTTATGTAAAAATGGTTTTCAGTCAGAAGGATGGGTTATTTAACAAAGCATGATATTTCTTACTGTATTACTCAATCCCTAGAGACATTTAAAAGAATTCAAATTTTTTTAAAATGCAGTGTTACTCCAATTAAATTCGGGAATAAGTAACCCTACAAGCAATTTCTTCTGTACAGCCCAAATATAAGAAGTGCTTCAACTGCAATGTGTTCATGATAAAATGAGTCTAGAAATAAAACACTGGCTATATTAGTTGCAATTTTGAAAAGATTGAAAAGACAAAGGCTGTTCTTCCCTGCTATTCTGAGGTTGCTGGTTTAAAATGCCACTATCGCTTTCCACAAAGCATCTAAGAGGCACCTTTTTTGGTGGGCTGTGCAGTCTGTGGGTACCCACATGGCACTTGACTCTTTGGAAAATCAACATGGCAGCAAAGCACTGAGGACACATGGGAAGTCCAGTCGTGGGCTTTGTGGCTCCTTTTTGTAGCTGGAAGTGCTGGTGCTGGGTTACTGTGATGGGACATGAAGGGTCACAGGCTCACCGACTCTCAAAATCCCAGGACACACGGTGGTAGGAACAAATCCATAGGAGGAAAGCCAAAGGAGATATTAGAATAACTGGGTAAAGTCAAGGAAGAATTGTCAGAYTAACCATGTCCTTCTCATTTCCCTAATAATGCATATGAAACATTTAATAGAATACTCAGCATTGCTGAAAAGGCACCGCAGTTGCAGTCAAAAACAGCAGCTTGGACTCAGATATCCAAGCTGAAGGAAAGATTGAAGAAGTGTTTGCCAGRACTTCTTTTAAAACAGCAAGAAGTATTGTATAAAAAACATTTCCCTGTACAGTAAYGTTAAAATGAGGAACATTAACATCTGTATCTTGTGTTAAGTTTCAGCACAACCCATGGAAACCACCAATGGCTGCTCTACAACAGCCTGGAGAGCAAGGAAAAGGAGCTCACTGACTGTGGAAAACTGCAGACTGCTCCTAGCCCTGCACATCTCCAATTATGTTGTGGAGTGGAAAATCTTGTTCCCCTAGAAGGAAACAGTTTTTTTTTAAACACACCAAGAGAGAACTATGCTGTTTGCCTGGTTATTTGAGACCTTCCACATTTCTGAAGGAGTGAAATTCCAGAGCCGCCTGTTATGAGGAACTCTTCTCCTTGTACTTCTGGTAAGCATCCAGGATCTCCTTGACAACACTTGGATCATCAAGTGTGGTGACATCTCCCATGTTGCTTGACTGTTCAGCRACTACTTTCCTCAGCAGCCTTCTCATGATCTTCCCTGATCGGGTTTTAGGGAGGCGCTTTACCACCTGCAAAAAAAGGAAAAGACACACCTTCCATAGAACTTGAATCCTGCTGGAAACCACAAGGAAATCTGGCTGGGCCACCCTAAGCCTGGCACACTATTTCATGGCCACATCCCCTTTGGGGCTGCTGGGGAATAGATTATGGAACACACTAAATTATGTCAAAGGAAAGGAGTGTTACTAGCAGCAAATTCCTTGTGCTATAAATTTTATTCTTATTTCGAGTGGGTTTTGTTCCCCATTTCCATGGCCAGGCTGGTACCCTGATCTTTTGGGAGTCAGGTCCTGCATTTGCTAATAACTATTGAAATTTTTACTCAGATAAACTCAGGCGTTTACTCAGATAAACTCAGGCTCAGTAAACTCACTCTAACGGTGACACAGACCTCAAGGCGTTACCAGAACAGACAGAAATACACATATTCCCCTTTACAGGGCAGGAATATAGAGGAACAAGATTCTGCACACCAGCTGCAGGGTCTGCTACTCAAGGGATATCCCCTCTCTGCCTGGTATCTGTCAGCCTACACACCTTCCTCCATAACCAGAACAAAGCTAAATGCCTTAGCTATGCCTCCTGGGCAGCACTTAGCAGCAAATTCAGCATTCAAAGGCTTTAGCATGAATCTGAGCCTGGTGAGGAATTCTCAGGCAGTGACCAGAGATACCAACAGGTCTCACATTTTGCTGTGTGATCACAGTAGGCTACAAAACTCCATAGCATCAACTGCTATGGAAAAAAGTTAGAGGTCTTCTCTGCAGGTCGACCCCAAAACACAGGGAAACAGGCTTTCTCTGGCATTCCTGTAAATTCTGGAAGCTTCCCCAATCCATTGAGGATATCCTGGGCTGTTCCAAGTTGAAGGAGCCACCCTTGCCTGCTCCTGTTGTATTCTGTCACCTGTGCCTTGGTGTCCACCTCACAAGCACGTGGCTAAAGCAGAGCCCTCAAAGGAGTGTCTGGTCACTGCCTCCAAGAAGAGAGAAATGGATGCAGGCAGACTTTGGGGGCAGCTAAGGAGAAGCTCTGTGAGCTCTCCTCTAACACCAAAAGGGAGATGCTGGAAGGTGAGGAGGCTTGAGACTGGTACCAGTTTCAGTCTCCACTTACCAGAATGTGGTCAGGCACAGCATACTTTGCTATCTTGGATGCCACAATGGTTTTGAGCTCTTCTTTGATACTGTCTGCATGAGCTGTCTGCTCCTTTAGCACTATGAAAGCAAAGGCACCTGGAATGAGCAGAAGCCACAAACCTCGTATTAGATACTGGCTGGCAAGACCAGGGATGCTCGCTCAAATGCTTCAAACCATTCCTATGTACAATCCAGGAACTGACAAAAAAAAAACATTGATCCTGTTTGCAAAATCAAGTCAGAATCCAGCCCTCAATGGCTCAGCCTTTTCTTGGCATCTATGACTGATCTCAGCGACAATGACAAGTCAACATAAATTACCAAAGTGTCACTRGGATCAAAAGCTGGCCAATGCAAATCAGCTATTCCCATTCTGTTYAAAGGACATATCTCACACAATCCTRTAAAAGGAAGCTCTGCCATAAACACTATGTATGAAAACAGTTTAGGGAGTAACACCCAGGTTAGGAACATGCAGTGATTTTCATGGCTGTCTTTGTCTCTTGGAGCTGCAGCCTTAGGATAACTGCCCTCCCATTCCCTAAGCATCTCCTAACATGCAGCCTGGGTTAGAATTCAGGGAATTAGATACAGATGTCATGCCAGGACACTGCTTTTCACATACCTTCTCCTTTGATCTTATGTGGGTACCCGACCACAGCTGTCTCAGGGACCTCAGGGTGGTCAGCCTTCACAAAAAAATGAAAAAAAATACACAAATCATAACTGCATCAAGCCCWGCAGAGTTTGTGCCAGTTGCTCTACAAACAAAGCTCTCCTACATCCACTGCACACCCAGCTGAATTTGCAGCAGCTGGAAACCTGCTTTCTCTTTCTTTGTGCCTGACTGTGGTCCCAAGTGGTGACAGGCCACAGCCAAATCACAAGTACAACCAGTCTTGCAGTGCTCAGGGTGACAGGGAACTGTGGCCAGCAGAGGTAAAAAGTGAAGCTGCCAACACCACATTGGACTGGTGTTTATAAGTGCCAAAAAAACCACCAGAAGGCAGAAAGAATCAGATTTCTCCATTCCCGAATCAAAATGTATTTTTGTTAACATGCTACACAACAGTGATTACTTCTGTTGCACTTTGGAGTTTAATTTAACATTCTTCTGCAGTAATGTGATGGTTTGGGTGCACAGACCAGAAGAAACCTCATATCTGCATCCCACACCAAAGAATGGATTATGTTATCTTCAATTAGATTCAAATATGAAAGAAAACATCATACAGCAATCTAGGCATGTAAATATATTTGCATATACACATACATAGATTGTGAGAGGAGCAGGATCCTATAGCTATGATCAGAAACTTGCACAGACATAAGAATTGTTCACAGGGGAGAAAGTGGGATCATGTGTTCCATGTGAACACAGCTCAGGTTTATCAGATATTACATTTAAATGCMATTTGCAGGCAAGGCACATAATGTAGATATACAGGTCAAGGYTTAAATATAAACACTCTGAGGACTTTCTGTTTTCAATTCCCTGAGCTAATATGATTTTCTCTCAAAATGACAGGCTACCTTAGCAGCTGACATAAATCAAGGTTGCTTTATGTTCAACACTGCTGAACTCTCAGGCACACTCAGCTAGTTGAGATGAAGCTCAGGTTTAGGAAGGAGGGGTGAGGTGTTARCAGAGGGCAAGGAAGAAATAGAAGAGAGACTTATGGAGTGTCCACCAGCATAAAAAAATGACAACTGCAATGTCACTGAGAGGAAACAGCTCCGACAGTTCTCCTGCATGGACTGCCCACGGTGTTTTTCCTCTCTCCATTGCTCATTTGTTGTCCCCTCAACAAGGGAGCTGTTTCCTCTCACACCTTTTCTATTCCTTGTGCATYGAGCTGTGGCTATGCAGGGGCAGGGGTTTGAAAGCAAGAGACAAAGCTGCTTTGAAAAACACTCATGCCCTGCTAAGAGACCTCCACCTGCCTGGGCCTTACCATTGCATCTTCGATTTCTGCCGTGCCCAGCCGGTGCCCACTGATGTTGATGATGTCGTCCACGCGCCCYGTGATCTGGTAATGGCCTTGCTGGGTCCTGTAAGCACCATCCCCTGTGAAGTAGTAACCTGCAGCAAGGACACAGGGCTGATCAGCAGCAGCAAGTGGGCCAGTTTTGGGTTCTGGTGCAGGACAGACCTTGTCCTGGGGTGGTGGAAGGGCAGGGTGGATGGGACAGCTGGCAGGTTGTGACAATCTCCCAGCTGCCTCCCACCATTTCCATCCCCTCTGCCATCCTCTGTTCTGCCCAGGCTGTGCTGCTCCTGACAAACATSTGAACAGCACCAAAGCTCTGGAGCTCAGTCTCTGCCAAGGTGGACAAATCACTGCAGCACTCAGTAGCAAACAGTGGCTGATGCTCCTACAGTAAAACCAAACCAGCGACACAACCCAGCAATGCTCAGTTGGATTTACAAAACCAAGAGGGGCTCTCTGATCTCCCCAGGGTTCACATGCCTATGTTTGCACAGCAGCTGTGTGCTCAGGCCTCTTGGTGCCTCAACATAAAACCACCCCAAATGCCATTTGCCATCGTGCCACAGGCCACTGGTGCAGCTCAGAACTGCTGTTAGCTACTCCTGAGCAATGGAAAACCTTAGCTGTTCAGCTGAAAGGGAGCAGTTTTATTACATTTTCTACGTGGGAACACTGCCAATTTTTTATCACTTACATTAGGATGGATGAAAAGCCATTTTCCCTCCTGGCTAACAAAGATTCAGATCCCAGATAACAGCCACTGTCTAGCATGTGAGTGTGGGAGAAACACTCTACCAGATTAGCTAAAAAAACCCCAAACCATCCCACAATAAGCAGGGTGTTCAGAGGGTCTGAAACATTTGATGGGAACCACAAAAGGCCCAGGGTTTCCTGGAAACTCCAGTGTCACAGAGGACACATCCTGTAACAGATTGTGCTGGCTCTTCACCAAGGCTCTGTCTGCATCTGAATMGCTCCAGTGGCACCTCTGAGAAGCAGCAGGCAGCTACTGCTGTGAAATGTGAGGGTGGCTCTTGCCAGAACCCATTACTGGCCTATTCATGGACTTTCACTCACGTCTTCCACCCTTCCAGATCAATTAAACAACTCTCAACTAAACATCAACAAAGCATCAGATGCAAATGTAGTGAGTAACAAGGGACTATGGGGTCATTCAATTTCTTGTACCCATTTCCCATTCTTTTTATCCAGCCCATTTTGTACAATTTTCAGGATTGCCTATCTAATTCTTGCTTTTCAATTGCTTTCCTGAATGAAGACAGTTGTCTTGTCCAATGTCCTACAAAAAAAGGTTTCATCCAATATGCCTGTTTCCGAGTAAAACACAAGGCTCCAAAGAAAAGCTATTTAGACTTCAAAGCTAAGGAATTAAAGCTTTCTAGAAAATACATGCCTTTTTGACAGCTAGAAGAGTCAACACTACCCAAAACCATCAGGGCATGCTTGCAACACATGGCACACACTCCAAGCCATCATGGTCTGGATATTACAGAAATATCAGAAAGTCCTGCTGAAAATATTCACTGTTTATAGAGCAGTGAAACTGCTTTCCCTTGGCACTTTCCTTACCTGGGTAGGGTTTGAAATAGGCATCAATAAATCGCTGGTGATCTCCATAGATTGTTCTTGCCATGCCAGGCCAAGGGTGGGCAATGCACAGGGCACCAGACRCGTCATTGCCCTCTATAACCTCTCCCTGCAGGTTCAAGCACAGGAAGGATGAACAGGTGAACAAAAGAGGAATAGAAAAGATCTTCTGAGCCATTGGTCTGGCCAGAGTCACCCTGTTGCTTACTGCAGACTGCCAGAGAAGGTCATAAGTGGATAAAATAAATGTCAACAATTTTCCAGACACTTGCACTGCCCTATTGGCAAATCTGTGTGGAGAAATGAGATATTCTGTCTCTTTCTCGCTCTCCATATATATATAAATAGCTCATCTGTTCTATTATTTTAATGGAGAAACAAGCATCCTTCTGGATCCTGTCCCTTTGCTGTCCAAAAAGTGATCAAGGCAGAAACACACACCAGYTTCTTGTTTGGGCACCCAGCAGAGCTTCAACTCACGTTCTCATCCATCAGCACAGGCACAATGCCAAAGAAAGGTCTCATGGCCATAGCTGGAATGATCTCAGCTTTCTCCTCTGAGGGCCGTGGGGCAATGCAGATACCACCAGTTTCTGGAAGAAAAATGAAAAATAAAATATATGTAGTCCACGCAGGGCTGGATGAAAGGAAATTCCAGAACTCAGCAGCCCCATTTCCCACCCCAGAAGTGATTTTACAGGGAAAGCATAAGCATGTCAGGGGATTTGTCTCCCACTAGTGTTTCCACAGCTGTCTAAAGTTAGCAGGGAAAGCACTTCAGGAGTGTGAATTACTGTTATTACAGARTATGAGATTAACCCACCCCTTACAGGCAGGTTGAGCTTATCTTCTAGTCAAAATTGAATGTTTTAATYATCCTTTTTCCTTCCTGCTGGGATGGACATTTTATCAGACTCCAACCTTAATGAGATCCTTTCTATTTTAAATCTAAATCAGCAAGACAAGACAGAAACAAAAATAAAGGAGAACAAGGCTTTTAAAAATACAGCTCTATAAATAAAGGTATGTTCTGCTGCATGGAGAGTGCATTCCTCTGCTGGCTTTGCTGAGATTGTGAAAACTGAAACCAGGGGTTGGTAAGGCTGAATTTGACCCTGAATTTACATCAGGTCTCTGGTGGCTTCTAAGCTTTAGATCTGTAGAAAAGAGTTTCTTACACAGAGAATTATGTCCCAATTATTTCATTGATGGGCATGCATCCATCCAATATTTCTGTTAATTTTGAAAACAGGAATTTGAATTTTTTCAGGAAAAAGCACCCCAGACAYCTGCTGTTCTCAGTTTGAACAGACAAAATCCACATCAGAACAGGGACCCTGATGAAACCAAAGGCTGCTCTTCCTAAGACAGTTTTCCTTCCAAACACAGCACTGAAAGCTGTTTCAACACRGTGTTTGCCACATCCCACACATGCTGCAGCCAGCTGCACACAAAATCCCATTCCTGAGGGAGCTACATGGTAGCAAAGGTGCCTTAAAAATYATTTGCAAAGTGAACACCTGTTATAATTTGGTTTAGAAGCACCAATTTTAGCCACTGACAGATGACATCGAGACTTCCAGGCCCTGTCCTTAAAAAGCCTGTCTCTTCAGAGGCAAAGCAGAAGGAAAAAAGTTGTATTTACCTGTACCCATATTTTGGGCAAGGACAGCAGAGTGTGAGCAGGGGATGGGTGCTTTGAACCAGGCTCCTCTCTGCCATGGAGAGATCCCTCCTGGCAGTGGAGCACATGCTCTCTGCCACCAGATTGGAGTGCCCACTTTGGGGAAAATCTGTTTCAGAAGCACCAGCCCATTCTAAATCGATGTCAACAATGATACCAACAGCAAAATCTTCCACAGCCTATGCAGAGATGTCTTTCACAACCAGTTTCTGTTCATGGCTGTATTTTTTTTTTGTGAAATCAGAGACAAAAGTGAAAATACCTGGTGTCTCTTCTGCATGGTGAAGAACTKCATCTAAAACTCAAACACAGCTTTGATTCTATTACTGTTGTCAATCACAACAAAGCTCTACCTGGCTTCTTCACAGCAAGACCCATAGGAATTTTTCATCTGCACACACCACACTATTTAAATTGCTTCTCATAATTGCTCTCTCACTCATTTGCCTCATCCAAAGACTTTAAAGTGGATTCTTAAATCACCATTTGCTGATGCCTGCCAGGCTTTATTAGCTGGCAACAGGTTGCTGCTTTGGGGAGCAGTGTCCCGTGGAGGACACTGCACAGAGCAGCACAATTAACCAGCAAGACTGAAATTCTATAGGAAAGGTGACACTGCAGYACCACAGCCAGCATCCATCACACTGTTCCTGTGATCCCTTCCCACGGTCCTTTTTTTTATGTTCAAATGGCATATATAATCTTTCCAAGATTAATTTGGCTTCCTCTTTATTAAAGCATCAGCTGTGGGAAAAGATTGATTCCACTTTCTAATAAAATCAATGTCATGAATATTTATCTTTATATTATGCTTCCAGGAGCAGGAGTTCACCTGTTTACCTGTGAAATAATGCCTGGTTCAAGGTAAGACCAAGCACTAACAGACTGTCCAGTGAATGCTTTTTAACTTTTCACCTAATAGCTGTTGCTCCAAAATCCCAGGAGAAATACAGTTTAATACAAGATCTAACCCTGTGCTTTGGAGGAGACAGAAAACACAGCATGAGCACTGCATGCACCAGTTAACAAACAAACCAAAAAAATGTCAGTGCTAAACTGGATTCTTCTCATTTACATCCATGTGCTCTAATCAACTGCTTCTCCATGTTTTCTTTCAGAGCAGTGAGGAGGAAAGCAGATAATGAGGAAAGACCTAGCCACTCATCTTTCCTTCTGCTCACAACTCAGAAGATTTAAGAGATCAGYAGCTGAAGGAGATAGCAGTTAACATTGCTGCTCTGAATTCTGAGGAGGTTTTATCTCAAATCTGAAAATAAAAAAAAAAGATCCTGCAAGTCTGGTCTGGATTAAATGGAACTTGGTTGAGTGCCAGAAGAAAATTCATCACACTGAGATATAGGGCCTGCTAGCAGGGATAAGGACAAAATCAGGAGCAGCTTGACTGGAAAGGGAGTGAATGTTCTACTCCGTGGCAGTTTCAGACCATTTTTCAACAGAGGCAGAATGCCAGCAGCTGTGCTCCTGTCTCCATGGCAAACTGGATCTCACAACTTGAGAAGGACATATGGCAAGACACCTCTAGCAACTCCTGAGTGCTGGTGCCCAGAAAAGAGAGGACTGGGTGCTGAGGAAGCAGGGAAAGAGCTGCAGAACTCCTTCAAGCAGAGCAGAGCACTGCTCTGATGGGCAGCCAGCAAGTCTCCACTCACTCTTTCCAATCTGCCAGGGCAGTTGCACAAGGTCCCTTTGAGTGCAGAGCTCTGTTTTCCACCCTCCTCTGACCATTCAAAGGAAGGAAAACAAAGCAGACCTAAGTACAGATTGTGGCTGTGTGGTGCTTTCAATGTCTTTGTGGATGAACAATGTGGATGAACTAAAAATTAGTTTTGCAATTCAAGCTGACTATTGACAGCTTTACCCAGCAATTCAATCTCTGCCTCATATTTCTAGCACTTGGCATTTTACAGAATTCAAAATATCAAAGGACATTCAGAGAAAAACAAAAACCCCTACATTGCTATTGATTCTACATGTTATTACATCGCCATTATGTGCAAAAAATCCCCAGTGACTTTCAAAAGCTGATCCAAATGCCAGGATGGGTTTTTCACACTCATTGGATCAAAGTGAAATGTGTTAATCCTCTGTCCCCACCAGCACCCTGCCAATGGTTGGGGTCCCCTGTGCCCTTTTACCTGTCTGCCACCACGTGTCCACGAGGGTACAGCGCCCTTCTCCCACCACCTGGTAGAACCAYTGCCAAGCCTCCTTGTTGATGGGCTCTCCCACTGCACCAAAACAAGAAAAAAAACAACCTGAGACCCAGGAGACTGCAGGCAGCTCATTCTCCCTCCCGGTGCACAACAAGCAAAGTCTCCAAGCAGAATGATTACAGTACTTTTGCTGGGATGCATTCGTGTAACTGAGGACTGACTTTTTCCAGAAGGACCAAAAGACAAGCAATGAATATCACTGAGAGTAACTGATCAATGTAGGTCATGTGTAAGAACATCCATAATTGAAAATAATACAGGAAGATGCTGCTTGGGTCACCCYTGCCAGTAAAATTCAAAGTGATGCCCTTTACCATCAGATAAATTTACTTAAAAAAGAATGTTACCCCGCAAAACAAACTAGGAAACAGGCAATGACACAAAGCTTCCAAGGACCCAGCTCCATTTTGCATCTTCTGCTGAGAAAACATTTGAAAAGCCAGACACAGAGCCTGCTTTATTATCTGTTTTTGAACCACATCCCTTGTGGTCAGCTGAGTTCCTCTGGCATCTTCATTCCACCAGTTAGAACCCCATGTCTTTTTCAGATTATTTCATGCCCCTTACCTGAACCCAGAATCCTCAAGGAAGATCTGTCATATTTCTTCACCCACTCGTCTCCATAATTCAGYAGCAGGCGTATCGCCGTAGGTGCTCCATAAAACTGATTAATTTTCAACCTTTCCACCACTTCCCAGTAACGACCTGCAAAAATCACAAACTGGTTTTTTACCTTTCCAGCACTGACATCTCRCTGAAAGGTTAACAGCCAAGGCTGGAGCTGTTATTTCTGTGAGTACAGAGCAAAAACAATGATAAGTTGGTTTTTTTTTTCCTACCCTGGACGCACGGATGTTCCTGAGTGCTGTGTACAAAGCAATGGAGCTTACCTCTCCTGAGCAGGCAGGTCATGCTGGACAAGGTTTCTAAACCTTTTTGCCACATTGCCACGTCTAACCAAACCTTTTCCCACCACTTCCTCACCTGGGTCAGGGTACACTGGAGTGCTTTCAAACAGGACAGAGGTGGCTCCATTGCAGAGTGGTCCATACACAACATAGCTATGTCCTGTGATCCAGCCAATGTCGGCCACACAGCCAAAAACATCTCCTTGCTGGTAGTCAAACACATACTGCAAAGATAAACGTAAGGCCAGCTGATTTCCTGTTGGCAGGTGCTCAGAGGAAAGGGGCTGGGCTGCACATCCAGATGGGAGAAGTGGAGGCAGAAGAGTGGGGCATGGCCACACCAAGAGCAGCCCGAGGTGAGGAAGCGACTCAGAGGGAGCAGGACTGAGGATCCCGGGCTCCTGGCACTTTGGCAAACACACAGAAAGCGTGGCTGTACCAGCAGCTGCTCAGCTGGAGCTGCAGAGCTACAACCAAAGACTGGAAACCTGAGGGTGCCTTCTCCACGTGGGAGAGCTGATTCTGARTCACAGGGAGACCACAGAGTCTCACCAATATCAACAGATTTCCGTGAGAGATCTGCAGGAACTGGTAGGTGCCCACAAAACACCTTCTGAGAAATATTCTTAGCTGCTCAGCTTCTCCATGTGAGTGCTCCCTTTCCAGATGCTACCCCTCTCCTTGCTCATCAAATTCAAGATAAAGATCCTGGAGAACTCATTATCTTGGATATGGAAAATGCTTCCCACTGTGAAACTAACTCCTCTGCCATATGGTGAAGATGTCCTGACTCATAAGGCAGTCAGGTTTATGGATCAGGACTAAAAAAAAAACCTCATGAGTGTGTGACAAGAGCGTCACATGCGAGTGTGCAAAGACCACAGGGATCAGCTGATCACCCTACCTAGAAAAGACAATTTTCACTTTACTTTTCCAAGTGCCTTTTCCTCTCATGCAGTCTGCAGGTGGAAAAAATGCACCAGGGTGCAGATCTACCTTCTGGACTAAGAAAGGGATGCTTTGGAGTTTATACTGCCACTTGGAAAAGCTGATGTAACAAATGCCCTTCATGCAGAGAAGTCTGACACTAAAAATTCAACTGTGTCAGCCTAAAGAAAGAAAACCTTCACATGAATTGTGTGCGATTACAAGCAGGGTGATACCACTAAAGACAGATGGAGATCTTTCACTACAGCCCTGTCCTCATCTCACTGTTACCTTTTAATATGCAGAGCTCAGATCAGAAGCTTCAAGAAGCAGTGCCTTGACTCTTTTTCAAGASAAAGGATGTTAAAATATTTTGCCTAGATCACCCAGAAAAGCTGCACAGAGGTGCAATCACAAGAGAAGAAMTACAATTCTTGTTCTTCAGACAAGTACTATGTAAAGCAGCTGTTTTAAGAGTCCAGATCTTCTCTGAAATAAAAAAAGTCCAGCACCCAATACAAAATACTACAGTAATATCCACATTACCAGTGCCAGTAAAATACTTACCAGAACCTCCTCAGCTGCAAATTCTGGGCAGCCAACATTGGCACATTTTAAATGCAAAAGCAGTGCTGCCATTTCCTTGCTTTCATAACTCTAGGTTCAGATTTSCATTATATCCTATTCCTCAGAGCAAATCCTGAAGATTATTTACACAKTTCAGGCATTTTCCAGCTTGTTTACCATCAATAAGGCAAACTGGGCAGCACACAGAGAATACAGCACCCCTCAGTGATGCAGTTAGTGCTGTTGGAAGGTGAGTGACCCTTTGYCAGAGGAGGTTACCTTGTGTGTGAGAGCAGCGTAGAGCAGGTATCCAGCCTGGGTGTGCACAATTCCTTTGGGTTTCCCAGTGCTGCCCGAGGTGTAGAGCATGAAGAGTGTGTCTTCACTGTCCATGCTCTCTGGAGCACAGATGGAATCTGCCTTGGTCATCTCCTGAGAAAGAAAAGGTGACAATGACAGAGGGACTTTGGCTCCATCACTCCCYCTGTAAACATGGCAGCAGTGTCCAGAGACAAGAGCCACCATTGTTGCTGCCCCTCACAAATATCCATGGATTTACCATAGCTTATAGGAGCTCACCCAGAGGAAAAGTTCCTGTGAATGCACAGCATCTCACCTTTCCACCAGTAAGAAGAGCAGTCAAGGAGAACAGCCCAGATAAAATAACATTTCAGGGAAAAAAAACAAATGGTGAGTCTTAGCTGCTTACATTTCAAGTCTCTGCAAGGTGCTGGTAGAAATCCAAAATGTGACTGCAAAGACAGCAGCAGCAAAGATGACTGGGTACTGCTTAGTGCCTTCCTTTTCCTCCAAAAGCTGCAGTGCTGCAGTTAAACTGTGTGTTCATCTCCCTTCCCTGGCCCCAGCAGTGGATGGCTGCCCTGTCCATTTGATCCTCACATCCTCARATTCTAATTTTTTCTACCCAGGAGAAATTCTCCCCATTCTGTCACTCTCCTCATACTCTCCTGTTTGGCCAGTTGGGTGAGATCCTCTCCTCACCCCATGACAGGGAAGGATGCAATATCCTGCCAGGTCAGAGCTTCTTTTAGCTCTGTGCTGTCCCAATGAATAACAATTCCTGCAAGGGTTTGTAGGTGACTCCTTGGAAGAATTTCTTGGTACTGCCTTTTGATGAAAATACAATGTAAACACTCTGTATTTACAAGTGAGCACAACCATCAGCAGGTCCAGTTGTTTAAAAGTGTCTGACAAACTAAGATGAATAAAATACGGAGAGTTCACAGAGCTGCTGAGTTACAGCACTGCTGCTCATCTCAGGTATTTCTCATGACATTTCAGCGCTGCCARTTCAGGCTGACTTGCCAGTTTTTGWAACAAAGATGGAACACTCATATGCTCCATCACAACACGAGCTTAAATTTTGCAGTAAGACATTGCACAAGAGMTGGAAAGTACAATTGCTGTGAAGATCAGTAAGGACAGATAACCGCACTGACTGTTTAATTCTTGTTTTGTTTCAGATCCTACAACTGACAATGACATGAGCTCAGCTCTTGGATCACCAAAGCACCTCAGGCTGTTTGCAGACTAAAGAAAATAATCAGAAAGTCCTTTGTGGAGTAAGGAGCAAGACCATTTCCCAATAAAACCTGTCTTCTCTGTTTAACTTACACTAGTACTTCCTCCTATCTCATGTGACCAGCACAGAGACTCTTGAGCAATTAYCTTGCCAGCAGATTAGCTTTTTCCAGGCATTATTAGTACGAGCAGTTCCTGTTTACTGCTGCCAGCAAACTGATAAAACTACTCCTGCATTAAGCTGGAGTCCCACGTGTGCCAGCTAAACACATAAAAACAGCGGCTGCTTTCTTCCCTAGGAAGCAGCACAGGCTCTAAATATTCCCAAGAATATTTAGAATATTAGAATATCACTGTTTTCCCACCATGGGGCAACCACAACGCTGTTCCTGGGCTGGGCTAAGCCTCTCTAGGAATTTCATAATTTCTGCACTGYCTTTCAGCAGTGTCCAGTCTGAGTGCACATGCAAACCACACCACAGTATAATGACAACAGGCACAATGGTCTTAGTGAACCTTTGGGTCTTGGGAAATGCTCCTGAAATCTCAGCAAAACCATTAAAATGGAGCAGCATAACCCCTGCCCATGCTGAGATAAACCAGACATCAACTGAGCTGCTCCCACTCACAATCCTGGCAGGCTGCAAGTGCAGGCAATCCATTTGAGCATGAAGATTCAGATGCTACAAGGAGCAGAACTCAGGCCTCAAAGGCACACATGGGGAGGAAGATTATCCCAGTCAACACTCAGAGCTAAAAGGAGTTATCCAACAAGAACGTACCTCTTCAAGGGGAATATCACGGTCACCCATCTGGACTTTGYTATCTGTCCTCTGAGCCACAAACACGTGTTGGATGCTTGGACAGTTCTTCACAGCTTCATCCACAGTTGTCTTCAGCTCCACAATTCGGCCTCCCCTGACTCCCTGGTTGTAGGTGATAACTGCTTTGCAGCCAGCTAAAAAGAGAAAGAATTAGCAGACATGCCAGCCTGTCTTCCAGGCTAGGATGAACACMCTATTTTCATTATTTTGGGGGATGATGTATAGGACAAGATGTGTGACAAACACTCAGAACTGCTATCAGTCAAAAGCAGCCAGTGTCACTGATGAAAACCCTTTAAAAGCTGAGGACACAGAGATGGAGGGTAGCTGGGACCTCCATAGGTTATCTAGTCCATCTCCCCCACCTCAAGGCAGGATCCACCTATGCTAAACCACTTCTGACCCTTCAATCTTCCCAAAACACTCTACTCTACCCTTTCCCCAGCAGTTCCACTCCAGTGCCTACCACAAMCATGAGGAATTCTTTCCCAACATCCAGCCTAAGTGTCACTCACTGCAGTTTCCATCATCCATCCCTGCCTTGCAAAGCTGACACGCAGAACAGCTTCTTCCCAGTTCCCTGCGTGAGGAGTAACTAAAACATGTGCTTGCTCTCTGCAGATTAACTCCACTAAAAAGAAAAAATAAAAAAAAAGACAATTTCTGTAAGACTTATTCCTTCACACGAGCCACAAAGAAACAGATGTGGCTGCTAGAACACGAGCCACTCGCTATTTCTCTCTTCTGCTGCTATTTTTAGCATCAMTTTTTACCTAATCACACTGTACAAGTACTTTGGGGCTGAGAACAGCTCTGCCTGCTGGTACAAGGGCTCACAGAGCAGGGGCAGGCTGCCAGCACTTCCAGTACTAYACATAAATCACAGGATCACAATGGAGAATGCAGAATTAGTACTGTGCAAGAGTACCAAAGAAACACTGCAATTATACTGCAAAAGAACAAATCAGACCCAATCCCTAAGCTCTGGTTTTCCTTCCAGCTTCACTGCTGTCAAGCAATAACCCAGTGCAGGCTGAATGTTCTGCAATTTATAAAGCATTCTGAGGCCAGAGGACACTGCATATGCCACTCAGGGAAAGGCTCCTCACAGCACTCTGCAGGGGAGGGTGAACTGTCCTCTGAGGAGAAAATGAACCAAGGAAACTCTTTCTGCCAMGAAGAGGRTTGGGATGTGCCTTGGAGCACTGTSACAGAGGCTTTTGCTCCCCAGCCTGCATCTACTCACAGTCCAGGATTCTCCCAGCCAAGGACTCKGCGCTGAATCCAGCGAAGACCACGGTGTGAACGGCGCCGATCCTGGCACAGGCCAGCATGGCTGCCACCGCCAAGGGGGACACTGACATGTAGATGGCCACCCTGTCCCCCTTCTGGATCCCATATTTCTTCAGGGTGTTGGCAAGGCGGCAGGTCAGCTCCAGAAGTTCCCTGCGGCACAGAAGGAGCGTTGTCATGTGAGTGCACAAGCTGCTTTACATGGGGTGAGCAGAGAAAAGATGAACTTGGACAGAGTGAGGCATCATCACCACCTCTGGACCTCATCCCAGCAGCACAGGGCATCTTAAAGACAGGGCTTGCTGGCAGCCAGGCTGCTCCTGCCATTGTGGAGAGGAGGAAAAAGGGGCACAGAGTAGTGCTGGTGTTGTCCAAAGGCTCCCAGGCTGTTTATGGAAGCGCTCCACAACCTGGAGGTTCTTTTTAAATTGTATTTTAAGGGTAAGCAACGCATTTACCTGCACAAGGAAGAGAAGGAGTCCACAGACACTCGTGTGAGGGGCAGATTTTACAAGATTCTCATCAAAGCTGGATCACCTGCAGCCCAACAGCCTTGCAGGACAGAGGTACTGTGCCACTCCAGCACAGAGAAACTTGGGAACACCAAGAACTGGAACAAAGGTTCTTTTCACAGGACTCCACTGTGACACGGTGACAATGGCAAAAAAACATTCCTCTAAAGAATGGAAAAGCACTTTGTGGGCAAGGGCTTGCACACAGCCTTGTTCTGATGCCTGCACAGCGGATCACACTGTAACACACCTGGGATTGAGAGGCTGTCAGGAACWGAGCAGCTCTGCATGTGTGTAAAGCATGAATCCTTACTTATGTATCCTCTTCTCCCAGAAYTGGTCACAGCCATGAAAAAACAAACAAATGAACAACCCCAATTTTCAGCAAGTGGCTAAGCTGAAAATAAAATGAAAAGTTGTTTCTGGTTCTTCAAAAATTATTTTGTTCCTTTTTTTAAACCCTTGCAAYTAGGAAATAGGCAAAGTTGATGTGCTCTGTCTGCTTTGGAAACATCATATCAAAACTRTGGATTAAGAAAAACTAATTTTAGGAGTGTCCACCCTTTACCTTGTCTTAAACCAAGAGAGGAGACAAGGAAATTGAGCCTCAAATACAAAGCACAGTGCATCATATTATTTATTCTAGGACTGTAGGCTCGAGTAAATAGTCCAGTCCTGAACTCAGAGAGTGGCCAGATGTGTTCAGATGTGTCCCCGCTCTCTGGCAGAGTGACCACAACCCTGCAGAAACCCTAATCCCTTATAGTTAGAGATCAGCCTAAAGGACAGCACTGAACACCTCTTCCCAAGCCCCTCATGACCRTGGAAGTGGACAGTCAGATTTATTATTTTGTTTTCACTGAGTTCATTAGCATGCAACTCTGTGCAATAATGAATTCCCACCCAGTGATTGGTTTGGTGCCTTGTCCTAAAAGGTCACATTTTCTGGCCTGGAATTTATTGATGCTGCATTAACGAAAAATCTCAACGTGGATCAATAACGAAGAGGCAAAACAAARCTAAGCTGCCCAACTGCAGAGCACACAAAGGGAAACAAGCCCCAGAGAGACAGCTGTGAGAAAGCAAAAAACTACTTATCTGAAATGGGAAATACTCAAGTGCTTTCTGAGCTGCAGCCTTTTTCTCCTGCACAGAAATGCCTGAGTATCTCTGGCTAAGATGTGTTTTCTGAGCAACTCCACAATTCCTCTCAGGGCTCAGTGACCACGATGGCAGAAGCTCTCAATGGTTTTTATGATTAACCCCAATTTMACATTTACTTAATGAGAGCATATGAGCAAGTTAATAGACAACACGGATCAGTCTTTACCCACAGATCTATTCACTTCTCCTTTGTACGCTGAAATGCTGGGATGAAAATCTCTTGGAGGTGCAGCACGTAGGGGAGGAATAAASCCACAGGGGACACAGAGGGTCCCAGGGCAGGCAGCTCCCTCTGTGCAAGCAGGGCAGGCAGCAGCAGGATGTCAGCAGAGCCACTGCACCAGAAGGAAATGGGCTGCAAGCAAAAGGAAGTGCCCAGCCCCTCYTGACAGAGACAGCTGAGAAACTGCAGTCAGCTCATGGCACCACAGTCAGGGAATCCTCTGCAAAAACAAATTGTAAGAGAGCAAAGAAGAGAACAAACTGGACAGCAGAACACTGCTCCAGTGGATAAAGTGGCAGAGCAGAACAGAGAAATGGGGAAGCAGCAACCATTCACAAAGGAGCAAGAGCAAAGATCCAGTCTTCTGTGCATTCAGAACAAAGCAAGCCAGGGAGGTGGCAGGTGCATGAATGAACACAAAGGACCAGTAGGAGAAATGTGGACCTCCTGCTGGACAAATGTGGTACCAGTGGTAACCAACGGGACCTGTTTCTTTCTTTTTCTGTATTATTTAGAATTTGAGTAAGAAGATTAGAGTGCTAAGAGCCAAAACTGAGAATTAACTCGTGTCTCTCTATATAAGGTGTGCTTCCATTTTGCCCATAAATAGGGCTTTGAGCATGTTGTTTTCCAGACTCATCACTCTCTGTGCAGGCCTCTCCTCAGCTACCACAGCATCACCTCTAGGCACAAGACCTGCAAGGCAGATCATTGTTCAGGCCAGTCCTGTTTAATCTAACAGACACAGCACTGCTCTCCCTGCCCTTACATCTCTGTTCAGGGACTGACAGACCATATTTCTCCCAGATCCCTCCCCAGATTCAGCTGTGCCTGTGTTTGCAGAGCCCATCACTCAGTGCAGTGTCTGGAACAACTTCTGTAAAACCCATCAGCACCACGTGGCACCGCTCTGACGCATTTCAGGGACGCTTTGCAGCAACAGTTTTCCAGTAAGTCTGATGTTACCTTTCACCACAGCAAGACAACCTGCAGCTTTCTAAACAAAGGAAGTCAGTTCCTTTTACATGCAAAAAAAAAATTGCATCAAGACCTTCTTTGTGAAGCAGCCTCTTGCAAAGTTATTCTAGACTTTTTCTTAATAAATTCAATGCCATATACAGGTTTTGACAGCACCTGTTTTAGAGCCTTACCCCAAGCCATGCTCTCTGCTGTCACAGCACAAAAGTTGGGTTGAGTATTTTTTGCAGCAATCAGTTCATTTCCTGGAACCAGAGTTTAAGTCAAGTATCCAAACTGGGCATTAGAGCCCAACTGCCCAGCCTTCCTGCAGACATCCTGAACCCAAGGCGAGGGAAATCCCGTGCAACCTTCTTCAGGTAAAAAATCCCTGAGCTGTCTTGGATGGGGAAAGCTGAAAGCCTGAAAGATTTACTTGCAACTTTGACTTACAAAGGCARCTCTGGAAAGATGGAAGAGAGTTTTGCTGGCAATGGTAAGTACCCCCACAGCTTCCAGCTACAGTTTGCTCACAATTGTTTCAGGAATTTAATCCAAACAGGCTGAGATAAAGCATTAATTTGCTCAAASTCCCTCAATCRCTCTSTCACTGGACAYAAAYKGAGTRCAATGAAGGAGCYGGCTCRTTTTTGGATTATTTGTGYATCKKGKAGAAGGACTATTTGCAGTCAGGACTATTACTATTATATTTTAGGTATGAACTGAAATGTTTCACCTATGGCTTTGAACATCTTTGCCAATCTGCAGAAGTTTGGATTCTTCTCCTAGTACAGAGCACTTGAATTCTGCTGCACAAACACAACCCACCTCACTGACAGGGATGGGCTAACTGATGGCACAGCCCACCAGCTCTCTGAGACTTTCATTTCTGCCAAGCATGAGCAATGATCCAAAAATTATCTGAGCAAGACTCTGCAAGTGATATAATTTCAAGTTGTGAAGTAGGTATGTTTATTGCAGCTCTGGGTGATCAGGAGATATCCCAGCATAGCTATTGCTTGGTATATATCAGGTTACATGTTACACATTCACAGAGTTTCAAAATTCACCTATATGTATGCATGACCTATCCCCACTTCGTATTATAATGAGTTCAAAAGTCATTTCCATGTGCTCACGCCTGCGCAGTGTTATTTGGTGGTGGGCTCCGGGGGTCTTGTGAGGAAGTAAAATACTCATCCTCTTTTTTGAACTTTTCACTTTTTTGCTCTGAGTCCCTGGCCCAAGTCCAAACAACAACTCTGGTTTTAGCCAGAATAGGGGTTACACGAACACAAGCTGGGTCACAGTCCCTGCTTTTGTCAATAATCTTCTACATCTCATTCTGCTTTGACAAACACAATCAATGTTAAGTAAATAATATACACTGTCTAGCAAGCAATTAGTGATMTATACTGTTTAGCAAGCAGTTYCTAACAAGTTATCCCTTAACTTCTAACTGCATGAGTAAGCTGGGACAGCACTTTCCAGTGCAGCYCTGCTTCTTGCCAGTGCATGGAGGATGTCCCACTTCTGAAGGCTTTTYCCTTCCTCAGGGAGGAGAGAGCCCATTCCAGCCCTTTTCCTGCACAGCCACCTTCTTCCTTTGCAGGCTGTGATGGGAACAAGGCCAGCACTCGGCTGTTTTCTTGTCCCTGACAACTCCCCAGAGGAGAAGGCAGAGGACCCAGGCCAGCAGCTRCAATTTTCCTTGTGTCACCCAGGGCTTATCTCTGAGGAGAAGCAGCTCTCAGCAGCAAGCTTGGCAAAGCAGATAATGCAAAAAAATGGTGTTTTGCAGTGTATTTTTCACAAGCTCTGGAGAGCCCTCTCCCARCTGAAAATCCATGTCCTTCCTCAAAGCTGGTCCACAAGGCAGTGCCCAAATTAAATTCTTTGGCTTCCCAAAGTGTTAAGTCCTCACTCTAAAGCTGCTGCCCCATTAACAGCACMCCCAGATCCTAAGGAAAGGAGCACCTCTCTTCTGCCACAGACATGTCCAGATTCCCCTCATTCCCTCTTCACTCTGGGAGGCCACAGAAGGTTCACCAAAGACACTCAACCAGCATCCCAGCTCCTGGCCACTCCCTTTTTTGATATGCTTTCCCTCCAAAATTTCTAGCYCAAATAAGGCACTACTGCAAAAAAATTTCAGCTAACCTCAATCTCAAAGGGAGGTCACTGCCAACACACCCTGAAGAAAGCTTCCTGTCCCATTTAAAATGGTAAAAATGCAGCCCAAAGATCACAGAAAAAGCAAAATACTCAGAGTACCACTGTTTTCAACAAAGCTATTCTGGCTTAACRAGATAAGCAGAGAACCAAGTGACCTGTTTAACCACGTGGCAGGACCAAAGTCTCTTGAGAAACCCAAGTGCAGTCACATCTCACCCAGACTATCAGGCAGAAACAGAAACACAGCTCTCAAATACAGGCAGAAGTTTAAAAATAGAGGTTGCCAACACATCTTTCACCTGGATGTTCTCCTTTCTGGTACCAGTKACTGCATCTCTGTATGGCTGCACAAAGAGTGGCTCAATTTTCAGACACAGGTTACCCACCTTCATGTCAMAGCAATCACAATTCCACAGGCTGAAAATATATTTCTTCCACATGCATTTTGGCACAGCCAGGAAAAAAAAAACAAAACAAAACAGTTGTGTTGCAGTTCAGAAAAGACCTCCCTGTATCTCCAGAGATTGCTGATAAGATGTTTGAGTGCCTGCAGCAGCTCAGCACATTTCAAGCAGCAGCCTGAGGGGGAGGCTGGAGCTGCCTTAAATGAGGCAGTGCTCTCCTCATCAGGTTAATTGAGCACAGCTGTCACCTCTGACCTACCCCCTGCTTTTCATGCCTGAGGCATAAAGAGAGAGGTGAAAGTGCATAAACCTGGGAGAAAAACATRCCATACGTAACCTCTGGGAGAAACCTTTGGTTCCATCTCCATGTTTACCACCAGAATGGCAAAAAGCACTTAGCCAGGTAACCCAGTTCATGACAACATATTTACATCAGAACTAGCCTAAACACCCTGTTGGAGTAATAACAAGATTAAAACCAATGCACTCCTTTCAGATTTATATCAGACAGCGTTTACTTTTGTTGCATGGAGCACTAACCTCTCAGAGYTAATTTCACACCTGCTCCTCCCTGCTGACCACTCTCCTCACTCCAATAAATAATATTTGCAGGAGCTTTAATAAATTCCAGAGATGAATCAGTCCACCACAACCTATGCAAACCAAGGAGCTCTAGGAATGCCAAAATGTTCCAGGAAACATTCTGTAAAAGTTTGATGCTAGGGCTTCCTAGATATCCTCTGCTTTCTGATGCAGCAGATCACACATCTGGCTCCCTGAGACTGAGCAGCTCAAACATTTGGCTCCCTAAAACACGCACTGAGGAACATAGAGGTCTGGAAAACATTTMATTCTCACCAGAGATGAAATAAAAGGCATTTTTGCAGGCAGGACTGTCCCCTAAATGAGGGCACATAGCAAGGAGAAGAGAAATATGCAGAAACCTGCCCTGTTCTAACAAACCGTACAATCTGCAGCATCAATTACAGGTCAGCCTCAACTGCTCTGAGGATGGGGAAGAAGAACATGGGGAGCTTAAAATCCCCTCCAGCCAGGGCTCAGCATCGAGCTGTTGACCACCAACACAAGATGYTTGCACCAAGATGTTCGCTGCTGTGCTGAAACCAAAACTGCTCACAGAAATTTTCCTGTGCAAGCAGAAAGGAAACTGTCAGGTGAAAAAAACCCCATTTCCTGTCCCCCTCCAACTGCCAGGCATGGTGAGAAGGTTCCATTACCTGTATGTGACATGCACTGCAGTGCCAGGTTCATCTCTCTCCCAAATCAAAGCCACTCTGTCTGGAGACTTTTCGACATGCTGATCCAAGCAATTCACTGTGAAAAAAAAAATTAAAAAACCAACAAATTTAAAAAAAAAAACCACAAAGGTTTAAACAAAGCCTGATCGTGTGCAAGGTTCTCTGTACATTTGCTTGGTCAACTGCAACAGGCAAGCAAGGGCAAAATGAAACATCAGTTTTTAGCTGCTAATGTACAACAGAGGAACTGAGAGCACTTGCAGCTCTAGTAAAGCTGTACAACAAATTCTACACTTAAKTGGCACAGCTGCCTTAGAGATGGATACCCATGAGAGGCCATGGCAAATTCATATCAGCTCAGCTCCAYTGGCTAAGCTTAAGCCAGCCCAAATCTCTCCCCTGCTCCCAGCAGCACAAAGACAAGACACCCTTTTGATGTTTTTGCTCCCCAGAGCAGCGTTTCATTGCATAAATCGGACAATCTTTCCCAGCTGGCTTATTTAGCACTGCACCATTTGGATTTTCTAATTAAAGCTCATGTGAAACATTTTTATTCCAGGGTATAACAAAGAGCTGAGTCTCAGCTCACTGAAAATATCTAAAACTGTAGGATCTATGGCAAACTCAAAGTTCAGACATCTACAAATTACCAGACACCTGGGAAAAATTAACACMTCTCGGGCTGTGTAGCCACCTCCTACAATTTAAAGACATTAAATTACCTTTTAAAGGTGCATCTCTCTGCTTCAACAACTTGAAGTAGAGGACCTAGGGAGAGAGCTCAACCTGAAGAAATTTATAGAATTCACAAAGAAAAAAAACCTGCCTGCATGTCCAGCAGCAACTAGTTAGAAAGCATCCTTATAAAGTATTAATTCCAAACTGATGTGACACTTTCTTATTGTGTTGTAATCTTTCAAAAGCAGTTACTTTATTTCAATAGGCAACTGGTCGGGGACACTGTTGTATAACTCCGAGAAAACCTTTCTAAAAATTGCTGAAATTCAGATCATATTTCCTGGAAATATTAGTACTGATGGGAAAGGATTTCATTTTTCCAGATAAATTAAATAAGCCATAGTAGCTTTGGCTGTTTTGTGATGACACCATCACACCACCACACAGAGGGTGGGAATGAGCCCCTAAAGGTGCACAGAGAAAGAAATCCCTCAGAATTYAACATATTTCAGTACGAGACCAAGTGTCAATCTCAAAAATTTGAAACAGCATTCTTCAGCTGTTTAAAGTATTTTAATTTTTATCGTAAAAATCCTGCAGCAGTACTATAAAAATAAAGGTGATAAAGCTATTTCTGATATTATACAAGAGGACAAAAACTCTAACGGGAAATGTTTTAAGCATTTATACACTGGTTTCTTCTACCTGGATGCATATTCCCATTTTCCCTGGATGGGAATTGCTGTGGCTCAGTCCACAACCAGTAGCAACTCCCACCTCCAAACTCCTCGCAGCTACACCTGCGAATATTGTGCCATGCTACAGTGAATCACATGAAGTATTTAGTGCCCAACATTTCTTCCTCTTGAGCAGCCCCACTGGCCTTCAGAGGGAATTTCTGCAGCAGAAAGCCCTGGCTGAGCCAAGTGGGAGCTTTAGCTYTGTGCTCAGTTAAGAACAGGCAGGTGAACCAGAGCCAAATGCTATTATTTCCTTCCTGATCTTAGGCTTAMCAGAGCCTTTTGCTCATTTTACAAAATAGAATTTAGTGACCTTCCCCTTGCTACTACACTCTAATGGTTTCTCCATACATTTTCTTGCTTCCTTGACAATGCTCAGAAACAATTCATCTCAGTAAGACATGCTCCCAAGAACGTGTGGGGAATGGAGTAGTTTGCCAGGTTATTCTCCTAGACAGGAGTTACAGTTCAATAAATCCAAAAGCATTGAAGCTCACAGGTCGCCAAAATCCTACTGCAAGGGCCCCCAAGCAAAAAGCAGCAGCTGACTCAGTTGCTTTTGGTTCAGCTGCACTGGGAGACGTGCACACAGGATGTTCTGGATCASGGACCTGAACTGTTGCCATGTTTCTGCAGCCAGTGTTCAAATCAAGAGGGGAAAGGACAAAACCAGAGCTTCCTAACAGAAAAACAGCCACTTGGCCGAGTGCTGTCCTCATCATGCTTGAAAAGAAAACCAGCAACAGCAAACCTGTTTATGTCTGTGCATCTGCTTCAAAGGTCTATGATTTCTTTTTACATACCCAAAGAAAACCAAGTGACATTTAATATCTGCTGAAGAACAAAAGCCAGGGCCCAGCAATATCTGGATTTCAAAGATCTGACAGGGGATCAAGAAAGTGTTGATCCCACTCTACAGAGGAATGAAACAAATCCCTGAAAGTCTGCTCAGACAAGATCTTCCTTTCAACAGGGATAAATGAAAACAAAAGCCAGGCTAAAATCCCCTGATTATCCCCTGCGGGAAGCAGGGCTGTACACACATCTCCATAAGTTTGGGATCCACCACTTGGAATCAACCCCTGGGAAGACACACTCTCTCATGTTCTCTGGAAGCCCTGAGGAGGGTTTCATCTTTTGCTGTCAAAAAAACRGTGGCCAGAGATGTTACGGTTACTGCACTACCGAAGCAGTGCCCTCTCCCAGGAACGGGAAAAGAAGGTCAGAAACGATCATCCCTGTGAAGAGACATCACCCTACATGGGGCTGGGGCTCACTCCCACTGGATGAAGCACGGCCACAGCACAGAAGAGCCTTCAAGGACAAAACTCAGAGGCAGTCAGCGCAGCCACGGCAAACTTTACTCTTGTTTCATGTTGAGTGCTGAAGTCGGAGGAAAATACCAAGATCCCCGTTTAAGAGAAAAGAATTCCTACGCCTTCTGCCATAAAAGCCTGGGACCGTTCCCCACCTGTGGATCATCCTGAGCCGCCACGGGGCCGGGCAGCACCGGGCTGGGCATCCCAGCCCATCCCCGCAGGTCGAAGTGCGGCCGCCCGCAAGGCAGCGCACGGGCAAGAGGCTTAACCAGGGTTATCCCGCCTTCGGATTTTCTCCCCTCTTCCAGCATTTCGCAATTCCCGGCTCGTTTCCTCCCAGCGCCGCCCAACCGAAACACTCGGGTTTTCCCCCCAAAGACGCGGGCGCTGGCGAAGCTTCGCCCCGCGGGACGCCGCCCGTCCAKCCCGGGATGCGCGGCCGGGACGCCTTACCGGAGACATTGAGACGGCCGCCGAGGAACCAGCGGGCCGAACCGGCGGGCTCTCCGGGCTGGCAGGCCGTGTGGAAGGGACTGTCCCAGCGCAGCCACCCCCGCGCCACGTCCGCCCAGAAGCCGGCGGGGTCGCGGACCGCCCGATCCCGCCAGGCCCGGTACCCACCGGGCGGCAGAGCCCCGGGATCCCCCGCATGGCTGCAGCGGCACCGGGCGGCCACCGGCACCCGGCCCGGGGGGAGCGGGAGAACCAGGGAGCGCAGAGCCCGCGTTCGGGCGGCCGCCAGCGCCATGGGGACACAGCCCTGCGCTGCTGGCCCCGCCGCGCCCGCCCGGACCGGGAGAGGGACAGGGAGCGAGAGAGAGAGAGAAAAAGAAAGAGAGAGAGAGAGAAAGAGAGACCGCCTGCGGGGAGGGGCTGCCCCGGCGGGGCGGCTCCGGGAGCGCCGCACCCCGCACACCCGGCACACCCTGCATCTGGGAGCACCTCGCACTCAGGGGCACTCCGCACCCCCGGGAGCATCCTATACTCGGGAATACCCTGCATCTGGGAGCACCCCGCACTCAGGGACACCCTGCACCCCCGGGAGCACCCCGCACTCAGGGACACCCTGCACCCCCGGGAGCACCCCGCACTCGGGAATACCCGGCACCCGGAGCACACTGCCGTCCGGGGTACCCCTCAACCACAGGAGCATCCCACGCTCAGTAATACCCTGCACCCGGGATCACGCCGCACTCAGACACACCCCGCACCCACGGGAGCATCCTGTACTCGGGAATACCCGGCATCAGGGAGCACCCCGCTCTCAGGGACATCCGCACCCCCGGGAGCACCCTCATCCAGGGATACTCCGCACCCCCAGGAGCACCCCGCACTCAAAAACACTCCGCACCCCCGGGAGCACCCTCACCCAGGGACACCCCGCACTCCCGGGAACACCCCGAGGGATATCCCTGCACCTGGAGAGACAGAGAGATAGACCCAGCACTTCCCTCTGTGGCAATAACACCCGCACAGATGTGCAAGCGGGGGTGCACCCCTGTTCACATCCTCACCACCACATTTTCTTCGGTTCCGAAAACATCACCTGAAAAGGCACTTTTTTGTGTGTGATTTTCTGACACTGCCGAATTTTTCTGCTGTGTTTTATAGGCAACAAGGAAGATTAAATACGCTTTTAATTTCCTGGTAAAGTTGGCGTTAGCACTTGGCTGCTGTAGCTGGAGATTGCTTCCTTGTGTTGTGACTGTCACTTTCGGTTTGCCCCGAGCCCGGAATTCCAAGCAGCAGCACGTGTGCCACCTGGTGCCAGACMGGGGCACGGAGACCACTTCGGCTTTCACTTGGTTTGCCCAAGGATTGCTCAAAAGTTTTCTGTCCAAGGTGACTTATATGCAAATCCCACCCCTTTCAGGATTCCAGGGGGAATGCTTTTTACACTACAAACGAGTTGTCAAAAAAATGAAGCATGAATTTAAATTCTTTGGCCTTAAATCCTACCTGCTTCATTTGCAGACTTTGGAATCTTCTGGGAATTGTGCCCTTCTCTGGTTTTCTTCTACATGAGGCTGATTTTCCTTTTCTACCAGCAAATCTTGTTTTGATTATGATTCACCAAAACATCCCCCACTCTCAAACCTTGGCTCTCTTTTTCCTCAGAGAAAACCAAGGCCAGCAGCAACTCAAATCCAGCCTGATCCCCACCCCCCCATTCAGATGGGTTGCTGGGCAGAACAAGCACAACCCCAAATCTCCTTTCTTGCCTCAAAAAGAACTGAGAAGAGAGAGGAAAAGAGTCCCTGAGATGTTGCAATGTAAAGCAGTTACTCATTGGTCTCATCTTTGATTCCCGTCACCATATAAAAGACTTACTCAATGAGGYGTTATATTTCTCAATTGCTCATTCCGTTTTTCCCTTAATGACCTAAAAAGAAGAATGGTGAAGTTGTGAAGTCCACGGGTGTCATTTATCACTGTTCTGCTCCTAACTGTCCTGTCCAGTGATCTTCTCACATGGTGGGCACACAGTTGATATCTGACTCCACAAAGGAAATGCAGAGCCAGGCAAAAACACCATTAYAGAGCTATGAATGCACTGGTCCGTGTTAGAAATCCTCCCAAGTCACAATTAACCCAGATTTTAATAAAATCTTTTGATCGTTTTCAGCTACATTTGTGCCTGCAGATTAAATTGGACATGTTCCCAGGTGGCTGTTCCAGCAGGTTTCTGAGCCCATTCAGCTCCATCTGCAGAAGARCAGGCTTAGAGGGAGGTTTAGAGCAAGGATGAAATAAAGCTAAAATGCAGTTCTTGGGTGTTAATTTTAACAAATCAGCATGGACCTTGTGTCCAAAGCAGGTTWGAAGGAGCTGAATACCTCAGCTAATCTGGGATGTGCATCTTTGCCAGATCTGCTCACATCTGGTTACCTGAAACAAAGATCAAAATTGTGTGAAAAACATAAATTCACCACACTTCTGTTTATGAATGTGTAATAAATGGCCAGTGAGTGACAAAGGGAAAAAACAATACTTAAACAAGCATGTCTGCAGGTGTGTCAGTCTTCATAACAAACCCCCTCTGTCACCACCCTGGACCCGAGGGACTGCTTTGATGGGGGGGAGATAAATCTCCTTTGCTAAGACATAAATCCTACAAGGGATTGGGGAGCACTGCAGCCCTGTGGGAGCTGGTGTGGATCCCACTCATGAGACAGATGGGAACATCCAGCTATGGATGGAACATCCAGCACCAGGTTGGGTCACTTTGATGGGGACAGAGAGAAGGCACCAGTGTCCTGCAGGAAGGGTCTGGCAGCAGTGTCCCTTGCAGTGYGTTTGTGAAGGTTTATAAGGCACAGAACAGCGTCCGTCCACGGTGTGGGGCACAAGTGTGGGCACCAGCTGGGAATGTGGGTGATCTGCAGTGAAAAGGGAACATGAAAACACAGCCATGAGCATTGCATAGCGCATCTGTAGGAGCCACGTGCTGATCTGTGCTTCAAGAGCAAAGTGATTCACAGCCACCCTGGCAGGGCAAGATCTGGCCCTGTATGGATGGGGAATGGTCCTGATTCTGATCCTAATGGTGCAGTGCCCAGGCCAGTGCTGGTGCTGCTGGTCCTGCTCCCAGTGCAGTGTCCTGCCCAGACTCTGGTGACRCTGCCGCTTGCAGTGCAGTGTAGTGCACCAGTCCTTTGTTGGCCCTGGCCCCAGAGGACTGGAGTAAAAATCTGCAGCCAGCACTGCTGGGGCTGGCTCTGCTGCCAGCTCAGGGCACTGCTGGGGCTGACTCCTCTGCCAGCTCAGGGCACTGCTGGGGCTGACTCCTCCGCCAGCTCGGGGCAGTGCCAGGCCCACAGTGGTGACGCTGCCAGTCCCAGTGCAATGCAATGCCCAGCCTCACGCAGCTGTGCTGGCTCTGGCCATGGTCCCGGCAGTGCAGTCACCCGGCCCTGTGCAGACGGTGCCAGCGCTGGCCGCGGTCCCAGGACAGCGCAGTGCTCAGGGCCATGCTGGTGATGCCAGCGCTGATGCCACCAGCGCAGAGACGAGCACCAGTCCCCGTCCTGACAGGGTCCRCGATCGCGTTGGCAGTGCCGATGCCGGTCCCGCTGCCGGTCCCAGGGCGGGGCAGCGCCGTGCCGGTCCCGTTCCCGKTCCCGGGCCGAGTCCCCCGCCGGTGCGCTCCCCATTGCTCGGAGTCACAGCGCGCTGCGGTGCCCGGCCGCGTGTGCCGCCAGTCGGTGCGCGGAGCCGGTTGACGGYGGAGGCGGGGCGGGCCCGGGGCGGGCCCGGGCGGGCGGGGACGGCCCGCGGGTGATGTCAGGCTGATGCTGTCGGTGCGGCGCGCGGTGCATTGTGGGCGAATCCCGCCGCCCGCCGCGGCTCCGAGGGGGAGGATGCGCTCGGGGCCGGCCCGTCCCACAGCCGCAGCCGCAGCGCGCCGGGCCGGCGGCACCGCGCCCGACGAGCCCCACTGAAGGGCGTAGGGCATGCGCTGCCTGCACCGGCCGCAGCGGTAGGCGCCGGCGGCGGCGGGGCCAGGTGAGCCGGGCCGGGCCGGGCCGGGCCGCGGCGGGCACGGGCGGGGAAGGGAGGGAGGAAGGGAGGGACCGTCCCGCCGGCGGCCTGCGAGGTGCGGCACCGGGGACCGCACCGGGCCGGGCCGCTCCGGCGCTGCGCGCGGKGCACTGCGGGAAATGTAGTTTCCCGCCCCACCCGGTGTCTCCAGCCGAAGGGAGAGAGTCCCGCGCGCGGGACTCGGGTTCCCAGAATGCCCKCGGGGCTGGGCGGGCCGGCGGCGGAGTGACGGGCCGGTGCCGCCAATGGGAAGGTGGGCCGGGTGGGGCGAACCAACTGCCGAGAGGGGCGGCGGGGAGTGGGGGGGCGGCGTGCCGGCAGCTGCAGTGCAGGGGCGGACGCGGCCACCTCCTCGGCGGGGGGAGGCGGGACGGCCCGAGGTGAGGGCAGGGCAGGGCAGGGCAGGGCAGGGCAGGGCAGGGCGGGGGCCCGGGCGGCGGCAGCGCCTCAGCGCCTCAGCGCCGCTCCTGCCCGGACCGGGGGTCGCGGCGATGCCCGGGGGTGCCGCCGCGGGAGGGGCGCAACGTGGCCTCGCTGCGCCGTGCGCGGCAGGGGCGGGGGCGCCCCGAGAGGCTCCGCCGGAGGGAGCGGCCCCGCCGGGTGATGCCGGGGGACGCCAGCCCCGGTGCCGGGCGGGGGCCGAGCTGCGAAGGCACCCGCGGCCTTGTGCCGAGCCGGGCCCCAGGGAAACCCACSGAGGGTGTCGGCCACCTCAGGGAASCGGGTGCCGCCCGGGGCTGGGCRCTGCATCCTGCCCGGGGCCGCCGCATGTGCAAAGGCAGCCCCTCCATAGAGGTCTCTGGGGAGGGAGCGCTTCCATCGCGTTACGTTGGGATARCTCCGTGGTGCTCGGGTGTGAGGCAGGAGGCTGAGAGTTTCTCCTCTTTGGAGGGGTGGAAATGGTGCTCCTGTGTGCGTGGCCGTGTCTGCTGAAGCTTTGGGGCTCGGAGTCTCCTGCCGTGGCGCCGGCGCTGCTCGTGGCGCTCAAGTTGACATTGCTGCATGTGCCCAYAGTCATTGTGCTTTCCCTGCATTCCGGGAGAGGAGGTATCCGGTAGCCTGGGTCTGACCCACTGGGGACTCTTGAGATGAACACCATGACCTTGACGTGCATCTAGGATTTACAGGGACCCAGAWTGCTGTACGAAGCGCTGGAGTGTCGTTGTCACTCTGGCAGCTATATGCGTGACAAGTTCAAGACCCACTGTGGGTTTTGGGGATGGGGACTCCAGTACCTGTTGGTGKTGTGTTTTTGAGCAGTTCAAAGCCAAA